TCCCCTGGGACCTGCACTCCATACTCTATGCTGTGTGAACAAGCAATGCATCAGAATGCAATGCACTTGCTCTTGGATGCTCTCTCTCCCTTTAATGGTTATGAAACTGTGGGACAAGTATTTTGCATTATTTTGATGCATTTCTATTGACATGCTGGCAGGTTCAGTCCTCCCCTCCCCAGCAGGGCTGCAAACTAATGGTGCCAAGGAACAGGAGATGTCACCAAGCACCATGACTAGGCTGTGCAGAGCCCCAGCCAAGCTGCAGCAGCCCTGCTCCCACCCCAGCACAATGCACCCTGCCAAAAGGCAGCTCCTCCTGCCCATGGAGGAGAATAAATCAACAGCCCAAGAGTACAGAAGTGCCTTTCAGCCACCTCACCTCCAGCAAACCATGAGGAGCAAGAACAAGTTTTAAACTGACACAGGGCAGGTTTAGATTAGATATTGGGAACAAATTCTTTACTGTGAAGGTGGTGAGGCACTGGCACAGGCTGCCCAGAGAAGCTGTGGATGCTCCATCCCTGAAAGTGTTCAAGGCCAGGGTGGCTGGGGCTCTGAGAAACCTGGTCTAGTAGAAGGTGGCTATGGCAGGGGGTTGGAACTAGATTATCTCTGAAGTCCTTCCAACCCAAACCATGTTGTGGTTCTACGAACAGCAGTGTTGGGGGTAGCAGGCTGCCAGGCCATGCCTCTCTCTGTGGGAGCTATGGGCAACAGCGTGTGCCCCTGTGTGCCAGGCTGGAAGGACAGCCTGGGCTGGCAGCTGCTCCCAAGCAGAGGCAGCCTGAATATCTGCTGCTGGCAGAAGCCCATCCTTACCTCAGCTTTCCCTTTCTGTAGAGAAAGAAGATCCCTCCAAGGAACAGGAGACTGAAGAGTAGCCCCATGACTGTCCCTGCTGTGATCCTGCTCACTGGGTGGCTCCCCACTTGCCCACTGGCAGTGCTGCCAGTGGCCACTTCCATTTTGCCACTTGAAATGCCAAGAGCTTCACCTGGGAAGAAACAGGAATGAGGATTGTACAGGGCAACTCATCCCCACACCCATGGCAGAGGGAGCCTTCAGCTGGGTCTGGTCCTGCTTGCCTGGTTGATCACCCTTCCCTGGGAACAAGGATGGGATTCACACCTGGATGGATGAACTCAATGGGGACAAGCCCCTGTGGGTCTGCCACCCACACAATGACCACCAGGTCCCCTGGCTGCGACCTGTGTGCCCATCAGCATCTGCCAACTTCCACTGGCTGCCTCCACAAGCAGCATTCTGGCTGCAGAGCAGCTCTGCAGACAGGAAAGCCCTGGCAGGCACCAAGCTGGTCATGGCCAGACATGGCATGGAAACACACAAGTATTCCAGGCTGCAGGAGGAGAATTCCCACCCGGGCAAGCGAGGTGACCCTTCCTGACCCTTCCACTCTGCTTTGCCCTGCCCTGGTGAGCCACAACTGGAGCACTGAGCCAGGCTCTTCACAGCAGCACCCAGTGACAGGGCAAGACGCAATGGGCAAATACTGAATATGGTAAATTCTACTTAAATACCTATATTTGTCTAAGTATTTATATATAAAAATCTGGTTTACTGTGAAGATGGTCAGTTGTGGAGACAGGCTGCGGAGAGATGCTGTTGAATCTCCATCCTTAGAGACATTCAAACCCTACTGGACATGTGGGCTGCTGGCAGGGAATGCAAAGTTCTGGCCAGCAGTGGGTCTGGGTGCCCCTGCAGGGGAGCTGCTGAGGAGGACAGGGGCGTTACCGTGCTGTGCTATGCTCTGCATGATGTCTGCTGCCAGCTGCTCCGCAGCGGTGCCTGCCTGCGCTCCTGCTCTGTCATCAATCAGCACGATCTGGATGAGAGGAGCGGCGCTTCGGGACACGATGCCCAGGAGGGTCTGTGCTTTGTGTACCTTGGATATGGCCATCTGCACGCCAGCGTATTTGGGCTTCCCAAAACACAAGGAGACACGTAAAGCCAGTGAGAGGGCAGGCACAAATCAGTCACATCTCCAGACAGCCACGATGAGTGCAGCTGCAAGGCCCATCTGAACCTTCATTGAGCCCCACCACAGAGCTGCCATCCCTGTCACAGCAGTGCTGTTCCATTTCCCAAAGGAGAGGCTTGTACGTACCCTCTCTCCCAAGCTGTGACCAGCACCCAGCACACAAAGAGCCCACATGGAGGAGAGCACGCTGAGAAAGCAATTTCATGTATCACACCCATTAAAAGCTGTATTAAGACGTGTGGCTGTAAGGAGGGCAGGCAGACAGCTTTCAGCTCAGGATCAATAAAGCAATACCCTGGTATTGAACCACCCAGTGCAACACAGAGCACACCTCCTCCCCCAGCAGCCCCTGGCAAAGAGGAGGGAAGTCATGTTGTGTCTGACAAGCAGGAGCATGAAGTGATGCTTTGCAGAACACCTGAGAACTGGCCAGTGCCAGTCACCCACCCAGTGCCTGCTTACTGGGGAATGGAAAAGCAACTCAGCATTGGCCAGAGACCAGGGAATGCCCTGCTGCAGGGTTTAACCATCCCAGCTGGGTGCACAGAGTCCCATGGGACCTAGACCTGCTCTCCTGTGTTTTCTAGAGCAGGGTTGCCAGCAAGCCCCCCTGCACCCCTCCCCACTGCAAGCCAGCAGCTCTTCCTGCCCTGAGCTGAGCAGATGGTGGGGCTGTGGTGGGGAGCAAGAGACCCAGCTCCTGCAGCAAGTGGGCACATCCAAGAGGTCACACGGGGAGCGTGGGCCCTGCAGCGTGGTGAGGAGTGAGCTGCACCCCTGGCATTGCTGGGACTGCATGCCTGCCCCAGACAGCCCCACAGCTACCAAGTCACTGGCAGATGTGACCAGTGGCTTGTGGTTTCGTTAGCCCCTCCCAGTCTGACAGGCTTAGTACCTGGCTCAGCAACTCTTGGACCAATCTGTCCTGGTACTTCTGAAGGTCAAAATCAGGAGTAAACTCCAGGTTAATGGTGGCCCCTGCAGCCAGAAAACAGACAGACATCAAACTCACCAGGCATGGGCAGAGAGCAGCCATGGCAGCACAGCTCTGACTGCCATGACAGGCACTGGGGACCCTCTGCTACCCTGTGCAACTGGTCTGGCTGGCTCAGAGAGAAACCTCCTCTGCTGGTCTTTTTGTCAGTTTGGTTTGATAAAAGCCAGCATATTCCGGAGAGAATTTTTCCCTGGAAAGTGTTCTCCCACTTAGAGCTCTAGGAAGCTCTTCATGTCCCAGGTTTTGGGGCCATGAGGCTGTGGTGCAGCAGCATTACCCTGGTTTTGGGGGGTAGGCTGAGAGGAGGGAACATTTGTGCTCCCTGCACCACTGCACTGCAGTCATGGAGACAAATATTTTCCTGAGAAAAAGTACCTGAGAAAACTCCTGAGAAAAAATCTCACCATTTGCTGAAATTTTAAATTTTCCTAAAGACTGTAAGACACTATGCTTTTAGGAGCAGGTTGGAGAAACATATGGTGCCATTTTAATGAATTTGGTATGACACACCAAGTATTGGATACCAAGTATCCAGGTACAGTTGTGCATGGAAAATTGCCCCGGCAATATTTCATGCAGATTAATGCAGGAGCACCCATTGCAGAGAGAACACTCAATCTGCATGCTTTTATTTTAACTGAAATTAAACAAGCTGGCTGTTGGGAAGCTGACATTACAGTGGAAAAGGTTGCATTTCCTCTGCGTATTTTCAGCTGCATAAACTCAGCAGAGCCCTATTAGCTTGATGAGCTGTGACATCCTGACAGGATAAACCAGAAGCAGGGATAAAGGGCTGTGACTCGAAACAGCCTCCCAAAAGCCAGGATCTCATCAGAGAAACGTATTGGGATGGTAGCACGATGGGATCTGTACATAGGACACACAGATGGGACCCCTGGCATCAGTGATACAACAAAACTTCAGCTCACAACCAGCTGCAAGCCCCCTGCTCCCAACTTTCCCCCATGGGAAGTAGGCTGGGGCAGCTGGCATGGCAGGGAGAAGGAATAGGGCCGTGTCCCCCGTGTCCCCCACTCACCACAGACCCCACAGCAGTGGCCAAGGGGCTGCAGAGGGCTCTGGCACGCTGGCTCTGGGCACTGCCTCCCTGATGCCCTGAGCAGTGCTGCGCAGATGCGGGGGCCATCCTGAAGGAGAGCAGGGCAGCGTCAGTCCCTCACCCCACACACTGCACCGGAGCCCCCAAAATGGGAAAGGGGAGACTCACCGGGGTGTTCCCACAGGCACAGCCAGACTTATCAGGACAGCCAGTGCCGGTCACCTGGAGAGTGCCATTGCCATGAAACTGCAGCGGGGCAGAGGGGCCCCCCAGGTACCCAGCCCAGGATGATGGGGTGTTCAGCTCCTGTGCAGGGAAGAGCAGCAAAGGTGAATATCCCAGGACAGGTACCAGTGCTGGCCCCAGGCACCCAGCCATGCTGCTGGGATACCTGGAGTCACATCTGATGGCCATCCCTGGGAAGCCCCACTGCAGGCAGTGATGCAGCAGGAAAACCCTGCCAATACACCCATTCTATCTTTTCCCCTGGACCAACAGAAACCTCTCTAAAACCAAAAACAATGACAATGAGATGGCTGGGTCTTTTCTTCTCTTGCTTTCCATCTTTATGCTGGCTCAGAGAATTCAAGTAACCAGCTTTCCACTACTGGGAAGAAGGGGGCTGGGGCTGAGCTGTTTTCCTTCTATCTGGGAAGAATTCCTATGTGCTTGGCATTAGCAAAGGCTGAGCTGGACTGACCAGCCTCATCCTGCCAAGTCACCGGTGATTCCCTCACCCACTCTCTTCCACAGGAAGTGTCTCCATGCTCTGGCACAACAGCAGATTTCTCAGGCCCTGGGGTGAAAATAGTCATCACAAAGCACAGAGTAGGCTGGCTACAAAGGGATAGAGAAGCTCATAAGGTCAGATCTGAGGGAATATGTTGTGATCATAAAAAGCACCTTCTCCTTCCATTTCATTGCTCAGCAGCAGCGCCTGCCCTGAGGGACAGCCAGCAGTGGCCCCTCGGGGGGATGATGTGCTGTGAGGTAGTCTGAAGTATCAGCAGGACCAGCATCACTCTGAGCACCCAAGAGCATCCACCTCTGCATCCCTGGGGCTATGTGAGCCTGGAGTGAGTTCCACTGGGGCACTGCCTTGTTCAGACTCGCCTGCACCCGCCTGGGCACTGACTGAGTCTATTACTCAAAAAGCAGCTACCTAGCGCCTGGCCCCGAAATGGCAGATCCCAGCCAGCGCAGCAGCAGAAATAATAAATAACTTATGAAACGCCTGCCGCATCTCCCACTCCTGGAAGGAGCCTGTGTTTACTGCTGCAGCTCCTGTGATCTTCTGCTCTCTGACCAGAAGGGACCCAGCTCGTGGGGAGCCTGATTCCCAGGCTGTGGCACAGCAGGCTGCCAGCACTTCTATAATTATCCCTCCAATCAATTAAAGAGCAGTGCAGAAGCAAAGCTGGGACATGATCACTGGGCCACAGGCCATGTTAAGGTCGGGTGCAGGAGGGAGGTGTCCCCAGAGGGTCCCTGAGCAGCACGGCTGCAGACACGTGCCTGGGAAAGGAGCGACCCCTGGGAGCCAGAGAAGCTGTCCTTTGCTGATGGTTTGATCCATGGTTTGGCCCTTCTTTAAACATTCATGGTGAGACAGCCTGCACCCCCACACTGCAGGGAGGGAGCCGATAACAAAGCGGTTGATGCAAAAAGCCATCGAGGCCATCCTCAGCAGCAGCAGCAGCTCACGCAGCTGCAGCCCCATGGGTGTGCCCCATCTGCTGCCCAGCGCTGCTCCCCGCTCGGGCTGTGCTGAGAAGGTGCCCAGCCAGTTTCTCTTCCTCCCCACCTCACCTGGCCCATGACAGAGATGCTGCGGAGGTGAATCACGGGCTGCGATGAGTCGGTGTTTACCCGGAAGGAGGTTTCGGGCTGGAAGATAACATCATCGTAGCGGCACGGGACGCGCTCCTCGTCCACGGAGAACAGGGGCCCGCTCGGCCTGGGCTCCCCGCTGGGGAGAACGTCCTGCCACAGCGTGGGGTCGAACCACGCGCGGTGCTCGGCGTCAGCAAACCTCGCTGTTCCACCTGGAAAAGGCACAGAAAAGGCTGAGCACGACCAAACCCAAATCCAAAGCCCCAGCAGATGCATCTGGGTTGGTAAATCCAGGAGTTGCCTGGCCTGAAGTGAAGGATCTCACCCTGTGGGCAGGGAGCCGAGGGCTGGCCCTGGCATCACCCTCAAAGACACCCACTGCAGGCATTTCCCAGAGCTTGGCAAAGCTTCCCAGGACTCAGGGCTGGGGTCAGCCCAAATCCCACATCTGGGATTTCCCCATTTTGCAAAACACATCCTTCTGGCTAACGAGAAAAACATCTGCCTGAATGCTGAGTAACAGTTAAACCTGATAAAAATGAGTTTGATAATTCATGTCCCAGTTTTCCAGCAGCCTTGGCAGGTCTGCATAAATGTGACCAGCCCTATTTCCTGCAGCAGGTAACCCTAAAGCCAGTGCTCAATTTAACTATCAATTATTTAACCATTAACCATTTCCCTGCTGGTTAGTCTTATCATGCTGTGCCCTGATGCCTTCTCTCCCTTCCCAGCAGCTGAACCTTTACTAATTCAGCCAGCATGCAGGTACTTAGTGACTGAATTATTTGCATTCATTTTAAAATCATGCTTTAGAGAAGTCCATTTGTGAAAGTTGTCCCAGAAACGCCAGCTGATTTCAGGAGAGCACTGCATGGTAAGCAGGAAAAGCCCACTGCCAAGCATGGGTGCCAGACATCCCTGCTGGGGGGCAAACAAGCCCCAAAACAATAAAAATTATAGGGATGAAGGACTTCAGAGTGGCTTCAGAGAGTCTTAAGATACAATCCTTCCTCTGGGGAGACTGACCTTTTCTCTCTTTTTGCTCTTTTTTTTTTCATTCAGAGTGTAGGCACAGGTGCTCTGTTTGAATGCTTCCTTCTCTGTAGAGGAACTAAAAAGTTACTTGCCACAGAAAGCATGGGGTAGTTCTTAAACACCCAAAATACACCTCCCTAGAAAACAGCTTTCAGATAAAAGCCAGCACCAATGACACAAAGCTGCTGTCTCAGCCATGGGCTGGGGGAGGGGAGGATGAGGTGTGTGGGGCCAAAGGCCAGCATGTTGTGATGACCATGGTTTGGTTCACCAGTGTGTAACTCCTAACTGGTTTTCTTTAGAAACACCCTGGCAGAGAAAATAAGGGCTTTGATGTGGCTACGTGCTTAATAGGCAGGGGAAAATACAAATAATATTTGCCTCTCTACTACAACTTCAAAGCTTCCCTACTATAATTACCTTTTAAGAAGACAGGTGATCTAGGAGGAAAAAATTATCTTATGTGAGGGAGGTCATCAAAGAAAAGGTAAGTATTGAAGAGGAGTGATTCACTTTGCTCTGAGGGAGGACCTTTCTAGAGGTATTTGGGCTGAATTAACATGATTCATCACAGGCTGATGGGGTGCCTGGTTTGGGTACTAAATACCTGAGTCACAGCCTGGATCCCAGCTGCCATCAAAAGCTGTGAAGGCTGCACCAGCTGCCAGCAGGAATTCTCCGTTCAGGGGCAGGTACTAGATGAAGGATGCAGAGTGTTACTGTCCTGCTGCCCACCACCCAGGCTTGTCACCAAATAATACTGCTAATTGTCAGGCTGCCTATTACACTCAGTCTCTGAGGCACTTCACAGTGATCAGGAGCTACCCTTGCCATGCCCCATGTACATGGGGAGAGGCAGTGTGATGTTGTCTTCCACAACACAGAAAAACATTCAGAGAAGCAAGAACAGGAAAAAGCAAAATAGCACTTTGACAGTTGCTTCCTCCTCTTGTACACACTCGCAGCAGCTCAGGAATTGATTTACACATGGTTGCTACACCAAGGAAAACCCAACCTTACTCTGCAAGTGCCAGATGCACCCTCACTTAATGGGTTCCCACCTCCAGGGGCTGTGCTTGCCCCACAGAATATAAATCAGGGCCCAGGCTATGCTTGGTACAGTGTCAGGTAGTGAATTTGCACTGAGCACAAGGAAGGGAAACACACAGTGGCATTTGGAGCAGCTTGCCATAGCCAGACTCTCTTCTTTTGGGTAGGACATCACCAGCTGGTAGTCAGAGTCACAGTACTGACCTGGCTTCAGCTGCAGGGCCCACCCATTGACAAACCTCAACAGGCACATCTCTGGCATGGGAACCTTTCCAGCAAGAAACAGTGGCCACCTGGGCCACCAGCCAGCACTGCTAACTCTGGGACAGGGTCTGACAAATGATTGATTCAGGCAAATTATCCACAGCAAAAAGATTATTCAGCCCAGCCCATCTTATTTTACATTTAGAAATTGCAGAGGCAAAGTAATGGTTTTTTCCAATATTTTAGAGTCAGTGATGCTTAAGGCACCCTTCTCTAACTTGGTCTATCCAGTGTTTTAGCATCACTCCCAACAGTAGCTGAAAGCCTTCCAGGACCGAGTTCTGCCAATGTACAGGGTCCTGTGCTCAAGCAGAAAAAGTTAAATGGGATTTTAAGGTTTCATCTACTTAACTGGTCATTAAACATGTATGTAGGTTAGAGAAAGCAAGACTTATGACTGACTGCTGCATGGTGGCCATGATAGCTCTCTGTCCCTGGCCAGTCTTGCTTGAGGATACTCAGTCCCACTCAGAGGCCACCATGGGGAAGAGAGGGGGGAGGTGGACAAGGCAAAAAGCCCATCACCCCCAAACTGTAGGTAGGCACCTGTTAGGAAGTTTAGTGCCTTGCTGGTGTCACACTTTGAAGGCCTTAGCCCTGGTGCCCTCTTGGTTCAGGAACCATAAGAAGCCATGATAGAGAGCAGAGGGTGGCTGTCACCAAGAAGAGTCCCACGGCGCTCTTCTTCACCATCTGCTTTGGATGGTGCAAAAGAGCGCCATATGTCATACGCTGGGCTGGACAAGAGGGGATGACACTGGGAATAACTGAGGTTGGGGCAACGTGCCCCAAGGGCGTGGAGTCTCCCCCCAGCCAGGAAGAAGCCTTTGCCTATGGACACTGCTCTATCAGACCACAAGCTGTGTCCTGCCATCAGGGTCTCTGAATTTCTATCACTTTTGAGTAGAGGAAATTTGTCCAATACTGAAGCACTGAAAAAGGCTGAAAGGCTGAAAGGCTTTTGTATCCTGCCAGGATAAAAAAAAATGATGAAAAAACCATCAACACATGTCTGTTTTGAGGCTCGGGACTTGGCCTGACTTCAGCCGGGTGAGGGCAATGCTACCAGCTTCAACCACAAAATGCTGTTCTTCACTTCAAGTGCCCTGGCTTGTTTTTGGGTGAGCTCAGACAGGAGTGGGCAATGGGACATTTTGGAGCAGTCAGCTACTGCCCATGCTCAGGGCAGTGCCAGCAGCACTGCCAGCCCAGTCTCTTCTTCCAGACTGGCTGGGCTGCTGGAGCCACTGGGTGGTTGCCCAGTTTGCAGGCTGGGCCCCTGTGCTGGCTGTGTGCTGCGGGGCAGGCAGGAAGGGTGGCCAGCTGGCTGGTGGGGCCATCTGAGCTGCTCAGCATGGGGCTTTGGAGAGGATGCAGCAGATCCTTGCACCAGCACAGGGCACCAGCTCTTCACAGCAGTCAGCTCTGGGCACTCAGACCCAAAGCTGCAGGGATATTTGTGGGAAACAAGGAAAATCATCCAGCAGCTGCTGGTGAGGGGGATGGTTACACAGCAGGGCCATGATTGGTCTCTGCTTGCTTTCCCAGGCTGCTGAAGTCAGCATTTGTGAGTGTTGTGGCTGGGTCGACACCACTGGGTTGGGAAGTCCCTGCTCTCATCCCTGCCTGCCTGACAGCTCTCTTCCCTGTAGTTCCCACTTTGGCTATGGCCATGGGTCAGAGCTTCCCAAACACCCTGTGATGACCATGCAGGACATAAGAAGCTTTTGCGTCCAAGGGCATTGTTCATTCAGACCTTCACAAACTAACTAGGGGAGAAGGAAAACATGTCAGGGTTCACGCGGTGGGGCTGAGTTCAGTATGGTAAGAGAGGAGATGAGCTACAAGAGGGTAACTTGCTCAGTTAGGGATGCACACAGAGATGCACAACACTGCTTCCATGACCAACCAAGGTGGTGCATCCTGCCTGTGCTTGGGAGGGTAAGCAGGCCTGGATGGGCCAGCAGGACACAGCACCAGCTCTACTCAAGAGGAGAGCTGGGAGAAATGCCTCATGCCAAATCTGCCTCATACCTGCAGAGCCTGTGCTCTGGAGACATTGGCCTGTGAGCTCTCTGGACAAGATGCAGCTTCTACAGCCACAACAGGAGATCCTCCTCCACTGCTGAGGCCAATATCTCAGGCTAGGGGGCCTTCCAGACAAAGCTGCTCATGTGGGTGTCAGTGTGGCAGGGAAATGAGAGTGAGCACACACCATGTCCCTTCATACCCTGGGATTAACCCAAACACTGCAAGCACCAGCCCTGTAATTAAGATGCAACACAACATGATGCAAGAGTCACCTCATCTCCACAGACATGAAGTTCAGAAAGAGCTCTGTACTTCTGCTTTGCCACAGGAATTTCTGGGGCTGGGCCCTGCAGCTATAGCTCCCTACCTACTGAAGCAGCTGTGCTGCACATCCACCACCAGCTCTGCCTGAGATTCTTACCACTGGGCAGCATTTCAGGAGTGTCTTCATCATCCAGTGGATCTTTGTAAATAATTTGCCCTTTCTTTTTTCCTACCATAAGTTAAGTATCTCAGCTCACTGCAGAGGACTCTGGTTGGGCAGTGGTTTCCTACCTTTGGGAGTTTAGTATGGAAATTGCATACAGGTTGGGCCACTTTCCAAGTACATTTTGAACTGAGCAATGACAGGTACCAGTGGACCAAAGCCAAAATGCTGGCTATTTCATCTGCTTTCCCTTCCTCCTGCCAACCTGTACTCCAGGGCCATTAATACAGCAAATGCTTAGAGTCCAATTAGTCATTTTCCATCCCTGATAGAGGTAAATCACTTATCTCCTCGGTTATCATTATCAAGTGCAATGACAACTGAAACACAGGCACAATTTTTCTTACCACAGTCAGGGAAAAAAAAAAAAAAAGACCCCATGTGGCTCTTGGACCAGACCAGCCCCAGCATTGCACTACCAGAAGGAATCTGCTCCCTCAATGCATAAGTGAAAAAGAAAATAATCTCCAAAATGTGAAATAAAAAATAGCAAAGTCCTGAGAGATGGCTTTCTAGTCAGGTGGCCTCTAATTGTAACCAGCCTCTGGCACATCCTTGAGTCACAAGCATCAGGCTGAGATGACCGACAGGAGCACTATGATCAGACCAGGAAAAATGCAACACTTGTGCTTTAACCTGGGTGAAGAGCACTTGTGACTGCAGCCAGGTCTTCCCCCAGTCTTGCTTTTATTTGCAGCATCAATACATTTTAATTCCTTGCTTGGATGAGATGGTGCCACTATCCCCATCACTCAACACTAAGACTGCCTGGGCACACTGAGCTCCATAGTGCTGCAGCAGCAGGCAGGTCAGCAGCCATCAGCCCTGGGTACATCCCCTCTCCTGGCACCCAGCCCAGGAGCAGCTCTGGCCCTGGTGCTGATAGCCCTCCACCAAAAAACATCACTGGGATAGGATGCAGGTGGGCTATGGCTCCAACATAGACTCTTGTAACCCATCACAAGCAATAATGCACAAGGGAAATTATTTCCATTTCGTCTTTCCCAGTGCAGCCCTGCTGGGGCAGTGGCACCCGCAGACAGCAGCAGGCAGCCAGGGCAGCAGGCAAGTGGGCCCTGCCCATTCTGCACACAGGTGGGAACAGCAGGGATTTTCCCAGTGCCTGCTGGGGCTGGGGGTCTCAGCGCAGCTGGTGGTGGTGCCTGGGTGATAACTGACACCCCCAAAAGGCACAGGGCCAGGATCACCACAGGTGAATCCCTCTGATAACTCTGGAGCATTGCCAAGGGCTTGCTTGCAGCAGCATTTCTTGGGTTCATTACTGAGGCTTAATTTATTCACCTTCTGATCCAGGTGAAGCTTTCACCTGCACCCTCAGGACAGTGTCCTTCCCCTCAGCCACACATGCCACCCCACATCTCCAGTTCGCTGCCAGAGCCAGCCTGTTCCTGCCACAGCCCTCGATCCCACAGTGACTAGTCCAGGTCCCTGGCAAGGCAGGATGACCTCCTGCCATCCAAGACCTCTGTGTCAGCTGAGGAGGGTCACCTGCTGCTGGACCTTGCCGCTCCCTGCCCAGACACGTGGTCCCAAGAGGAATGGGGCTTTCCCTTCCCAAGGAAACCAGGCCAGAACTGCAGCCTGTATCCCCATGAAGCCCATGCTCATGCAGGCTGGGCACAGAAGCTAGTGTTGCTGTCCATCAGCCCCACCAGCTGTGTGGGGGATGCCCACAGCCCTGCTCTGATCCCAGCAATAGCTCACCCCTCTGCTTCTGACCCAGAGCAGGCAGAAGTACAGGCACAGGAGAGGTGTGCCAGGGGATATCATCATTTCAGCGTCATCCCCTGCAAGCTAACGAGGTGCTTGGCTGCCCTCCCTCCCCTCCTGGCCGGCAGCAGCAGCACAGCCGCGCTGTCATTGATGCCAGGGCTGGCTCCCCTACTGTCTGCTCATCACATTTTAGGTTTTGTTTCAGCACACGGGCTCCCTACAGCACCTGCCCAACCTGGCCTTGCCACCACATCCCCTGGCACAGGGGTGGTCTGACACAACAGGTTCTCAACACATCATGGTCCTCCCCATCCCTACAGAGAAGCCACAGCTCCTGGCCATGCCACACAGGTGCTGCCCAGAACAGCCCCTGCCAAACCTCCCCAGTGAAAGCCATGGGAGGGTAAAAAGCAAATGACAGACCCAAAAAGCCCATTAACTTGATTGCAGATGCCCAGTACAGACTTCTAGCCGAACAGGTCCCAACAACGTACAGAAATCAGGTGTCACAGTGACAAGGGAAGCCTCTTGGATAGCTGAAGACACTGAGCTCTGGATGCAGAAGACACCGAGAGGCTTAAAGCCATTTGCCAAATCTATTTCAGATTAGTTAAGCTCCTTTCCCTGAACTTTCCTCTACAGACAAGGTCAGAGAAAGCCAGGAAGAGGCTTGAGGTGCAGGCAGAGGGGCCATGCCCAGCAGTGAAGGGATGGCAGACGGTCCATGGAGCAGCTTCCCAGCCAGACAGGCTCCAGCATCCGCTAAAGCCCAGGATGCTGGCAAGCTGCTCTGCTCATCACAGACTTTAGTAACTCCTGCTGCTGGAAACCAGCCTGAAATGAACAAATAGACTTGGGAAGATGAGTGTAAATGGCTGGTTTACCAAACTCCTTTCCTGCACGCACCTTCATTGTACACGCTGACACAGAAAAGACTGCAGGATTCCATCTTGGAATTATGTGCTGGCACACACACCTCTGAAATTTTTTATCTTCATTTTAGGGGAAGGAAAAATAATCCCTTTTCTGGTTGTCTCATTACCCCACTGTCTGGGAAGAGGTGGGGGAGGGAGCACCAGTGGCTGGGACTAGCGCGAACTGTGGCAATTCATTAGAGCCAGTGCCCCTGGAGAGCAATTGGCATTTCAAGATCAATCTCTGCCAGGAACCGAGCGGGAGCATCCTGCAGCAAAGCCGAGTACATTCTGCTCTTGCAATTAGGCAGCTAAAAATATAAGGCTGGGGGAGGTGTCTCTGGTCAGACCCCAGTGCCACTCCAAACCCTTGCCCAGCCTTGCAGCATCCCGTGGGGCAGGCAGGGAGGGGGTACGGACAGATGCGGCCCCACAGCAGAGCTCGGGGATGGGGCAGACCTGGAAAGGTGATGTCAGAGCTGCTGAGTAACCCCAGCCAGTGTCCTGACCCTGGGGTCAAGCAAGACTGCTCTGCCCATGTGAATAAACCTGACTCCTGCCACCCTGAAAATAGAAGCAGCAGCATCCATCCGTGGCCCACACATCAGTGCTGGCTGGCTCAGGCACAAACTGCACAAGGGCTGGTGTTACTGGGGCAAACACCAGGCTCACTGCTGCAGCCATGCCCTGGCCTGGCTCCCTTTGGAAGCACAGACACAGCCAGAGGGTCCACTCCCGCTCAGGAGTCTTTCTCCCCCATCAGGAGACAAACAAAGCCAAAGTCTGCCCTGCCCTGGAGGACCCATGCCAGGCATCATCATCTCCATTTCCATCTTTTCTGCACATTTAGTCTCAGGCACCTCCAAAAGCTGGGTAAATACTGATCTGCATCTTTAGGCAGCTAAACACCATAGAAAATCCAACCTAATCACAACGGTTGTGCATCAAAGCCACTTATGCTTTAAGCTGGATTTGGATTTAATGTGTGACTGAATTAGGGATCCATTTGAAACTTCAAATAACTGCTGAACTGGGTGCTCAGTGGGTGAGCTCTGCGCAGAGAGGCAGGCTCTGTGCCCCAACAGCCTCCTCCCAAGAAGGCATCTCCCTGCACATGGCTGGTGCCCACACAGGATGGATGGGCAGGGGAGCTGGAGAGCCCACCATACAGAAGTGAACTTTCACTTACATGTCTGGGAGAGGAGCGATGGTGACACATGAGGACCACCAGACACTCTGCTCTGCTGGGGAGTTGGGATGGGAGATCTCACGCTGTCCCTTCACTACCAGCACCAAGCATCCTCCCCTATACTTGCCACAGCAGGCACTTATCTTCATGAAAATTACTGAGAGTCTAATCCTTCCTCAGCCATGAATTTCCTTCCATGGTACTACAGCAAACAACATTCTGCTTTTTTTTTATTTTTGGCCAAAGGCTGTATAGCATCTCCATGGTGACTCTAAAGCTTAATGTATTCTTGCTGATTTAAGTGATTAATGCTCCAGCGCTCGTGGCTGGCAGCCAAACAGGTGCAGCCCAGCCTCCCTGCAAAAATCTTCATGACCAATTCATTTCCTAACCAGCTGGTTGCCAAATTTCATGCCATTTGTATGAGTAGCAGCCTAGTTCAGGTGGTGGGTTTCATTCCTTTTTCATGCCTAACCTTGGCAGTCCCTGTATCATCTGGTGACAGCAGAGCATGGCAGTGAACAGGAGGGAAGTGCCTGAGCTGAAATGAAAAAGAAATATTAACCACTTCACTAAGAGTCATGCTGGGACAGTTCACAGGGAATGGCTGGGGCAGTGATGCACACAAGGAAGGTGTGAGCTGCAGTACAGGTTAAAGGGCAGGGTTGGCTGCTCACTGCAGTGCAGCTCAGTGCAGGAGGGGAATGGTGCCCTCACAGCCCATGTTCATTCCCTCGCAGAACCCCCTGGCAGTCCTCCCCATCCGCACAGCAGTGGGACCACAAAATTCACTGTAAACCTGCAGCCTGTGCAGCTGCCTGCCAGCAGCAGGGGCTCAGAGAAACCCCAAGGCAGCAGAGGGTCCCCAGGGCTCCTGCCAGCACTCTGGATCCTTTGACAGGGATGACACAGGGGTCACTGGGGCACCCTGACCCATCCCTCAGGCACAACAGGAGCCACCCACCCGAGCAGGGGGCAGGGCCATGGATGCTGGTTTGTGCAGTGGATCTCTCTCCCCTCAGGCTGCTCAGCTCTGCTCTCCAGCTTGGCTGCAGGAGGCTCAGCCATAATGACTGACGCTGCTCTGCAATTATGCACTTTGCAGGCCTCTGATGAAAGTACTTTAGAAATATTATACATTCATCTGTAAGTAAAATAAAATCTACTGGAGTGGTATTTTGCTCTTTTCTTCTCTGGGTAAATTCCACATCATTTATTACATTAGATTTGTACGTATTTCCCCAGTACATTCTTTCTTTCAAAAATTCATATTTAAAATGCCATATAAATAAAGTATCTTTTCCAAATATTTGTAGAGGGATTAAATGTGGCACATGGCGTTATTAAAGCATCAAAAGTATTAGTGGCATAGACAGCCTCAACAAATTACACCACATAAATTTCAAGGGCTTCTTCAAATTTAATGGCCAATAAAAGAGCAAAGATGCCCTAAAAGTGAGAGAGGAACCTTGTCCACAAGCTCATCAGGTCTAGAGGATGAGGTTTTCCAAACAGGACCCATCCCATCTCTTCCTGTCTCAGCACTGAGAAAGGCTCACTTGTGACCCATCCCCCACTGGCAGGTTGGGACAATGGGCTTGCTTTTCCCTTTAATTCCTCCCTGTTAAATTTTACCCTCCAAGCCACAGAGACTGTGAGCCCATGTTTCCATGGCTGCCTGTCAGCTTGCTCTAGGGCAGAGTTCCTCATGTGGGGCAAAACCAGGTTGCTCATAAACCCCCTCTGAGTTGAGCTGCCCCAATCTTATATCACTCAACACACACATTTCAGCAGGGTGCCATGCCCATCCTGCCACAGCTAGACTGATAATACCACAGAAAAATATAAAACCCAATGACAATTGAAAGAAAATTTCTCAAGCAACATTTTGGGATTTCCCAGAACAGTTTGTTTTCATTTCAAGCTATTTTGATGTCAGCTTCACTTAGCCTCTGCCCAGGGCTAGTGCCTGCTCTGTCAGCAGTGCTGTGGGTTGGTGCTCCTTGGCCAACTATTGCTAAGATCCCCATCAAATGGAGGGGGTTTTATCTCTCCTTTGAGGAGAAAAAAATAAATTTCTTTCAAATTAAATTGGATTTTGCTGTACTTTCTCTCATCTCTCCTAAATAAAAAGCAAAACAAACAAACAAACAAAAAATCAAACCAAAAGCAACCAACCAAAATAACCAGAAATGGGCTTTTTGCTTCCAGGATAAAAAGAAACCCAGGCTGCTGTAGGACTCCTGTTCCTTGCCCTAGCTGAGGTATCCTTGGTCTGCCTGGACCACGGAGGAAAGTGCCAAAGTCCATGGAATGAATATAAACTGACAGAGGCCAGTAGGACATTAGATATTAGGAAAAAATTCTTTACTGTGAGGGTGATGAGACACTGGCACAAGTTGCCCAGAGAAGCTGTGGATGCCCCATCCCTGGAAGCATTCAGGGCCAGGATGGACGGGACTTTGAGCAACCTGGGCTGGTGGAAGGTGTCCCTGTCCATGACAGGGGGTTGGGACTGATGACCTTTAAGGTCCCTCCCAAGCCAGATCATTTCATGATTCTGTGGAGAAGGGAAGAGGGGAATGTGCCACCAGGCAGAGCTCCAGGGCTGGCCCTGCCCTCGCCCACCCTCATACACCTCTGCCCACCATGCCTTACCATGTCTGTCAGCGCGTGGGCAGACCTGACGAACACTGAGACAACCTGCAAGAAAAGCAAGAATAAAGTGTGCTTTGGCCTGTCAAGTAAAGGGACTTTTCCAATGCCTGACAGTGTTTTGTGAAAACAAAAATAAAATAAATTTAAAATGTCTATACCTTGTCCTTCTCAAAGTGAACCACATCCCTGGCACAGGGGACTCTGCCTTTATCCCAGTTGGAGGCGGTTTCGAAATTGGTGTTGGGGATCCACTGCTTGTACACGGCAGCGGAGGCAGCTGGGAGGGAACACAAAAACCAGTTTAACTCAGTCCATGAGAGGCACTGGGAGCCAGCTCTACGATGTGCTTTAGGATGGCTTGGCATTCATAGGTCAGATTTGGGGATTTTCTACCCAAGAGCAGCTCCTCCATTGTCCCAGCTAAGCAGTCATGGCCCTTCTCTACACAGGGTTTTTTTTTTTTTTTTGGCTGGGTGATGGTTTTAGCCACCCAGACAGGAAGAGAAGCAAGGGACAACCAGCAGGCAGACAGAAGGCAGGGAAGTGTCCTGCAGGCAAAGAGTAAGAATAACATACACCTGGTAGTTAAACAATCCTTGCAGGGGGTTTAGTTGTCACTCAGACTAATTAAACAAGGAAAGATTCCTCAGCCTTCGTTTTCCAGCAGGTACAGAGTGGGCATGCAGAGCTGTGATACCACTAAGACAGGGCAAGAGAAGAAAGGGCATTTACCATAGGACATGTAGCACAAGTACAGGCTGGTTTCATGTGTTTGGAGCTGGAGAGGGAGGATTCAATGGTGTACTTCAGCCTGAGGCATAAACATGTTGGGAAACAGGGTTCTTCCCCTTGGGGTTTCCTGGGATAGTGGCAGTCCTGTCCTTGCACTCAGGGATGAGCCTGCTGGCCAGGGACAGGACACGGCAGAGGGGGTTTTCACTCTGACCTCTCTGTTGGACAAGCACAGCAGAGCAGCCTCCCAACCTGACATTGCCCAGGCTTGGCTGGGGGGTGCATATTCAGCTGAAGATGAATCAATCTCCAGAAGCCTGAATTAAATAGCTTCAGGCAAGTGAGTATGAGACAGAGAAAATTACAAAAAAAAAAAAAATAAAATAAATAGCCCTACTTTTGTGCTTTTAATGGATCATCTTTTCTGTAGGAGAAAGACCCACAGAATTACAAACCATGTAGACAGCCCGTGGTGGCAGGACTGGGGCACTGGAGAGGTCACGGCGGCCAGCCGGGGTCGGGAGGGGCTCGGAATGACCGCGGCTGACAGATGCGCTGCACAAAGCCTGGGCGCGGCTCCTCAAACCATGGGGTGCCGTGTGGCTGCAGAGGCTCTGCCAGCACACTGCGATCACCCTGAGGTGTAACTTGCGCTGTTTCGCTCTGCCAGGGGCTCTGCCGAGACTGCTGGCTGCAGTAGCCATCTCCAGATGAAGAGGAAAGGATGTATTTTTAACCAGAATGGACGTCCTGGAGGCCAGGTAGAGTCGCGGAGGGCTGCGGGTGCCTGAGGGACCCCTGAGGCAGAGCGAACACCCCTCTGAAACCCTCCGAGAGGGACAAAACATCACCGGCGGTGAGAGCCGCAGCCAAGCAGCTGCTCGCAGCGTTGTGGTCATAAACACCTTCCTGGCTCAGAAAAGGAGCAGGAAAAAAGCTTAAGAAAAAAAAAAAAAAAAAAAAAAAAAAGTTCCGTCCTTGCTGCGGTTCCCTCGTGTCCCCGGGGAACGGAGAGGTGGGAGCTCAGCCGAGAGCCCCATCGCACAGAGCCTCACGTCCCGCGGGCCGAGCGAGCTCCCAGCCGGGCCCGCCCTGGACACGGCTCCGCCGGTCGGAGGCTAATCGCTGTGTCCCATGCATTCCTGCACCCTCCCCAGCCCTGGAATTATCCCTGTGCTATTTCCCTGTCTCCCGGGAAGCGCAGTCCTTGAAACATCAAAGCTACATGCATATTCAACAGGGAGCGTGTCCCGCAGCGCAGCGCTGCTGACTGCACATGAGAGGCTGAGCGGGCTCCGCAGGGCTGTGCCAGCCTCGGTCCCCGCCTGTCTTCCCCGTGTCCGGCTGGAAATGCCTTCTCCCGATTGCCTGTGCGTGACAGAGCCCGCAGCTCCGCTCCGATCCAGGCTGCCGGGAGCACACGCGGGACGCGGAGCTCGCCCCGCCGTCACCCCGCTCGCCACGCCGGCGGGCCCGGGCGGACTCACCGAGGAGCTGCAGGATGCCCAGGCGGGCCCGGGCGGACTCACCGAGGAGCTGCAGGATGCCCAGGCGGGCCCGGGCGGACTCACCGAGGAGCTGCAGGATGCCCAGCGGGAAGAGCAGGCGCTCCATTTGGCGGCCGGCTGCCTTCCCTCGGCCCCGCGATCCTGCCCGGCCGGACCTTGCACCTTCCCGGGCACGTGACGGGCCTCGGAGGCCGCAGGGAGCGGGAGCTCACCACAGAGGGAAGCAGGTTTAAACCTCAGCGCAGCCTCAGCCTTGCGCTGTTCCAGAAGCTGGTTCGTGCTCAGCTCCTTTCCCAATCTCCCTCTTTCCTTGGCATTAGATCCCGTTGGGAATCTAAGAGAGCCACCGAGGAGGGAGCTGCGGAGGCAAGAGTGGGGATCCCCCAACTTGGCTCACCAGGCCTGGCCCCCACGATCCCCTCACCCACCCAGGTCCAGCTGAAGAGTGTTGGGATGAACACTCTGCGTGCACATCCCACACCACTCTCCCTGCTGAACAGCAGCTACCTCGTAATTACTAATAATAGCCTCCGTGTATTTTCAATTAGCTCTCTTGGAAGGGAACGGCTCCCAGCCACGACTGGTAATTGTACTTTGGCCACCAGCTGATTTGATCATTAGCTGGCAGTGCCAGCACAGCTCTGCGATGCTCCTGTCGTGGCTGCTGGCAGTGGCACCGGTGCATGGGGATGCAGCAGGAGGGGGATTGCACCATCCCTGTCGTCTGCTGCAGCATGGAGCAGTGCCACATGCCGGTCCAGGCCCGGGTCTTTACCAGGGGTGTGTTAGGAGCAGAGAAAGGTGGGGGGAGAGCACTGATGGTGGCAGAGGCTGATGCCAAGGAGAAAGCCATGAAGCTCAGCTGCCCTTCAGCTGATCCTCGTACCAGCAGGGCAAGGGCAGAAGATTGGTAAATGCAGGGATTTACTAGAGGCCAGAAAGAGACTGGAGGAGTTCTTGGAAGGGTCATCCAATGGATGGGACACAGACCACAAGAAGCTCACCTGACATCAGCAAGGATTTAGGAGTGCAGGAGTGGGAAGCAAACCATCCCCATCCCAGCATTCATACTCCCACTGCTTCCTGGCTTCCAACTTGGCAGACTGAGGTGCCAGGAGAGAAAGCTCCTTAGAGCTGCAGCTCTAAGCTTGAGCATCAGCCAAAACACAGTCAGCACTTTCTACCCAGGGAGCTCAATGCTGAGAGATGTCCTCGAGGTGAAAGGTTGCTGCACTCTAATTACCACTCACAAATCTTTCCTAGGGGACTTGCAGGGTGAATGCTGGCTGCAGTGAGATGTCCTGTATTTTAATAGAGGGGGGGAAATTATAAATCATGGATACTTGGCAATACAAGCTTAGAGAAAGGACTGCAGTGTGCAGAGGGCCAGTGCACGCTTGTCTGTGGCCTCAGCATCCTGCAGCACAGCCAGGATGGGAGCAACTGCTCATAGGACCCTGTGCAGAGAGCAGTGCCACAACCCCTGAAACCCAGTGTGCTGAGATATGCTCCATACCCTTAGTTTTGCTTTCTGTACTCTGCAGCTGCTGCTTCTCCGTGCTGCTTGTGCCACCAAAGCTGATACTTGATTTTAAATGAGCTGGAACTCATCTGGCAAGCAGGCAGAGGTCAAAAATCCCTAATCTGCCTGTGAAACCCTGCTCAAGGATGGACAGTCCCTGCTCCAGCATTAGGGTAGGACAGGGCAGGGTAGAGGAATGACAGAAATTCTAGCAAGTTATTACTGGGGCTCGGTGCTCACTCCAGCATCGCTGAATAACCAGGTTAGAATAACCCGCCCTCACTGCAGGTCTCTCCCCCTGGCTGGAGCACACTCCTCTCTATCCTAGCTTTTATTGTTGCTATTGCCCCAAGATGCTGTTGTGCCTCAGGATGAGACGGGCACAATGGAAGGCTGTACAGGAGCAAGGTTTGGGTCAGGTGGTTACAGGGAGAGTGAAACAAAGTTGAAAGGAAGGAGAAATCAGTCCCCAGAAATTAAAGCAGCTGCCCCAGTGCAGAGATCAGCACATTTTATTCCTTGCTGCCTGCCCATCCTTCTGTTCCCCTGTGCTGGCTGCCCACAATGCCCCTGGGGGGACAAGAACATCACCACTACAGAGGGGAAACAAGCACTCAGTGGATGCTTGACCTTCCCAGTATTGAGTTATAAACGGGCATCAAAGCCAAAAACACAGTTCCCCTTAACCAGCCAGGAAAGCCACCTCCTAAATCCCTTCAGGGACATCCAGGACCTCTCAGAATTTCCCTGTTGTACAACTGCATCTCTCCTCACTGCTTAAAAGGAAATATCCTGCAACACAAGGGACTTTCCCCAGTATGAGCACTCAGATACAGCACTTTGCATCTGGAAAGGGAGCTCAGGGCTGAGCACAAAGCAATGATGGTGTGGGCACCAGGCCCCAAGGTGGATGATTGCCCCCCACAAGCACACACTTCCTGCAGCCTTCCAAACAGCCAAGCAGTAATGGCACCGTCCCCAGAAAGTCATTAAGTGCATGGCAAAATTACTCTGTGATAATTGTGTTACATGCCATGGCTCCAAACAGAGAGAGGGGAGAAGGCAGAAGTGTGCCAAAAACTGGCTCCCAAACCCCAAGTGCTGAAGCCACCCCCTGTGGGAGCTGGGCTGTACCCTGGCACAGAATGTTTGCCAGTCTCTTTGGCACAGTGCAGCATTGCTGAAGGTTTAAACATGAAGCTAAGCTTAAATAAATGAGGAGAAATGGCCTGGAGGTGACAGCCCCTCTAGCTGTTTTCTGTCTCATGGCTGCCCTTAAAGCAGGCAGCCCCTAGCATCAACCAGAGAAAATCCCCATGAGAGATTTCCTTTAATTTAAGAAAAAGATAGTCTCGGGTGCAACAGCACCATCTATACTGTGAGAACCAATCTCTGATGGCAGAGGAGCTGTGTGTGCTGCTGGGACAGGCACAGCCTCATTTCAGGGCTGGTCAGGAGCTGAAGCTGAATGTACAGCCAGTCTGTGGAGTGAAACCCCTCTTTGGAGCTTCATGCCAATTCAGCAAGAGGTGCTTACAGGCCTCCAGCAGCCACAGAGTAACCTTAACCTTAGGGCAGCAAGGCAGGAGAAGTCACTGGAGAGGATCACATTTGATCTCAGAGCTACCTGGAAGCCACACCCCAACACACTTCTTAATTGTAGTGTGAAGCAGGGGAACAGGAGCTTCCTGTTAGGGGTGTCTGCAAGGAGCAGCTATGGAGTGAGATCTGTGCGCATTTAGGAGCAGGTTTCCTTCTCAGCCCTGAGCCCAGGCCAAACTGCACACTGGAACCAGCCCACTCCATCCAACCACATGCATGGCTAGCATTTCTTTTTATCCTGGGAAAACCAAGCATCTTTCACCAGCCATCACTACCTACCCCAGGGACACCTGCTAAAGAGGCCACAGCTGGGGACAGGCTCACACCTCACCCATGTTCCTGCAGGCTAATGGCACAGGATATGCTGAGGCAGATGCCACTTCTACCTGCCAGGCAGAAATACTGGGTAGAAATCCAAGTAATCTCTGCAAAGCTTCTGCATTGGCACAGAGCAGCCATTGAGTGTCCACAGCAGTGTCTGGAGCTCCCACCTCCACTCACGCAGCTGTGCTGCCAAAACACAGCTGCAACCAAACCAGCTGTGCCCAAACATTGCTTAACCCAAGGTGCAGCCTGCAGGGTGGAAGTCAGTTGAGACCTGAGGTCTCTTCTGTGTTTGCCAGCCCAGGCAGTGGGAATTCAGTCCCTGGCTTGGGCCATTCCCCATTCTTCTGATCCTACAGAACACACCAGAGCATGCGCTGAGGTCCAGCGTTCACTGCCAAAGACCCACTTGAAGGAGTGAGAGATCTGAGTGGGCTCAGCTTCCCCAGGTGTCACATTTGTCAAGGGGGGTAGGGAAGATACTTGGGTTTTCACCTGTTTTGGCCAAACAACAAGCCAGACACATGACTCGACAGGAACAGCCTCCAGAGCTCAATCCAGGCGTGCAGGAAGGAACCACACAACTGACTCACGAAATAACTGGCTTTGGGGAAGGTGGGGGGAAATAATCTATTTCACCACTTGCTTTGATCACTGGCTATTTCCCTATTCCTTAGACAATTCCAGGACTTGGTCACATCAAAGCAAACAGGGAGCAGGATACACAGGACTGAACATTTTGAAAACCTCTAACTTCTTACTGGACAGCAAGCAAACCCAAGGTGTTGAAACTCTAGAAATCTTCCCAAAAGCTTTAAAAAAACCTCCTACAGTTCTTCCAAAGGATGGCCCTAGCAGCAGGTCCAGGCTCTGGCAGTGTTCCTGCCATCCAGGACCCTCTGCAGCCCAGGAGCTCCTCACACTGCTCTCCCTGGCTGCTTGGTGCTTCCAGAGCTGGCACTCTGCTCCTATCACCTTAAGTACCTGATGGCCCACTGGGGGAAAGCACCCCACGAAGCTGACAGTCACCTTCTGGGACCTGGCATGAAGGAGAAACCTTTCATAAAGCTTCACTGGAGCCAGGAAGGGCACCACGTGTCATTTCAATTACGATTCCTTACTGGGGGTGAAGGAGCAGGGAGGTGAGGATAGAATTAGTATTTGCCTTCACGTTTAAAGCAATTTGTTTCCTCTCTGCTTATCCTGCTGCTCTGTAATGATGGAAGTGTCACATCTGAGCAGCATCAAGCTCCCCGATTTGGGAGGAGGAGACTCCTCTGCAGAGGACTCTACTGGAAGGTAACTCACTTCATTAAGACAAGGGAACTCACCACCCCTTAACGCTCCACAGCAGAGATACGAAGAGCTTTAGGCATTGCAGCCTCAGGTGCCAAGGCTGGGAGTGCGAGTGGAAAGGCTGATGAGCAGGACAGAGAGGCTGGAGCACCCGGAGTCACACCCAGTGGCTGCTCTCAGCAGCGAAGGAACATCCACCTCAGCACATCGGGCACAAGGTGAGGACGGCACTTCTCAGCCACCCTCCCCTTTCACCTGCCTGCATTTGCCATTTCTCTGGCATTCCCATTTTATCGAGAGAAGGCACTCGGCTGCCCAGCACTTTCAGAGTGCCTGTTCCAAACACCGGGAGGGACTGGCCAGGTCGTTCTCACATTCCAGGCCAGCAAAGCGGCGGCTTTTGCCAAGACACTGCGGTCTTGTGTCTCAGCACAGGCAGGACGTTCCCGCATTGCTAAACCCAGTACTGCCCCTGCAGCAATGGGAATGAAGGGAAACTGCAA